ACAGCAAGCATGTGCTGAACAAACAGCAAGCATGTGCTGAACAAACCTGCTTGCTGTTCCATGTGGCTTCCTCAGGCCTCCTTCTTGTTCTCCATCCAGCTTCCTTCTCTTCTTCTCAGCTCCACCCTCCTGGGTGGGGCAGGGAACCTGGAACTTCCCCTTTTCCTAGGGACCACCCTGTTACAACACCCCATTAGTGCTCCGAAGGGCCAGCTTTTCCTACCAAACTGCTTAATATAGGTATAGATTTTCTACATTTACTAGTGTATAAAATTAATGCATCTATATTCATGAATATGGTGTATTTTGAGGCTGGTTGCTTCCCCCAGTCCTCAAGAGGCGCGGGGTGGGGGGGGGTGCTGGGCCTCCCCCGTGGTGTCCACGTGCTGTCCGTGGCTAACCGCAGGTGAGTCATTTGTTCTTAATCAAGTCTGTGGAGCTGGATTATGATCCAGGCAGAAAGGGAGTGGCCTCCCAGGGCGGAATCCTAGAGAGCACTTCTCCGACGCAGAAACTGGGAGAGTGGTAGGAAAACGGCTGGCATCCGCAGCGTGTATCACTTTTGGGTTTCTGTCTATATTTGTCAGTGAGGAAGGGGGCGGCCCTGGGGGGTGGCCTGGGGACAAATGGAGGAGACAGATCTTGCAGGGAGAGGTCAGTCGTTCTCTGGCTGTTTTCTCTAAATTACTGATTTTTAATTGGGGTAGTAACTGGACACCCCCCGCAGGTATTGCCACGGCCCAATCACCCTCCAGGCCCAATCACCCTCCACAGGCCCGGCGCCTTCCTCTCTGGCTCTTTCCAAAGGGCGTTTTCCTAAAAGAGGCCTGAGGTGGGGGCTGGGCGGAGGCCGAGGTGAGCAGAGCAGAACATTTGGAAAAGCATTTTGAGTGTGACTCCCGTTCCGCCTTAAAAAAAATAAAAGGCATCTTTCAAAACTAGGAAAAATGTTAAAAATGGAAAACGCCAGCGACCTGGAAAGGGCTTTGGAGGCGGGTGGCGTGAGGAGACGCTGAACCCTGCGGCCCTTTCATCTCTGACTTAGCAACCGCTGCGCCAGCCGGGTGTTCAGTGCCGTTTGGTGTCTTTACCTGGCTATTGGGGCTCCACTTTCCGTCTTCCGTTGAGAATCTCAAACTTTTTGGATGATTTTTTTTCGTATTTTCAATGGCTACCATTTCTACACGGCCTTATCATTTCCAAAACCTCTTCTGTTTCTGAATAGGAGCTGCATCACCACGCAGGGCAGTTAGTAAATTTGTTGCTGTTAAGCTGGTGCCTGTTAGCACATTGCAGCTCCAGAGGTTAAGACACCGGCTGCGGATCACAGCCCGTTGGGGGCAGATTTTTAAAGCGTTTGAATTCCTTGCTGGGGAATTCATCACATCACAAACCGACTCTCCCTGTTTATAAACCTTGTTACAAATCCAATCATCTTTGCTTTATAGCAGCCTCTGTTAGGAGGAGTGGATAGATACTATCATCCTTTTTTTACAAGGCAAATTTAGGGAGCCCACAGAGTCACTACGGCTTGTGAGCTTCTGTTCTCTGCTCACAAGCTTTGCCCCCCAAATTTGTGCATATAGTGAGCAGGGAAAGGTGCTCATTTATTATTTGCCTCTGGGCAACAGTTATTGACAGCTCAGCTCAGAGGACTGGCACCTGGCTAATCCCAGGCTTGAAAGTGAAAGAATAAACCCCCAAGGACATGCAGTGTCTGATGCCCCCCTTGCCCCCATTCCAGGTCTGTCTCCACCGTGTCCCACAGCGGCCCCCCTCCTTCCCTGACCACCCCTTGAGAGCCGGGACACTCATCCCCAGACTCCAGGCCAGTCTTCATCCTACTGTGGCTCTCTAGAAACACCTACGAGCCTGACGTCTTTTTCTGGATCTTTCTGGGATGGAGACACTAGTTGCCTTTAGGCTGCCGAGGATGGCACGGCTCTCTCGGGGGCCCCGCACACCCGCCGGGGATAAGCGCCCACTGGCTGCAGAGGCGTCCACCGTGCTCAGGTCGGGCTCCTGCTTGGGTTGGCCAGGTGGCCGGCCTCGTGCTCCTGGCACCACTGCCTCTTGGTGGTGGCTTCAGACAGCGGCACCTGCACACGCCCCCGCAAGCCCCGTGTGCATACCCCGAATTATTCGCGCGCCCTGCAGGCCCGCCCAGCTGCAGGGGGCGTCTGGGAGCGGAGGTGGCTGGACTTGGGCATGTGGGAGAGATGCCCTCTGCCGCTGCACCTGAGGGCTTTGATTTCGTTCCGCGTCATTTTCCAATCAGCTTCTAACAGGGCAACAAGCCAGGAAGCATAAAGCCATTGCCCGGGGTGAGAGAAAAGGAGAGCATGGGGCTTCTACTTTCCTCCCCTCTCCCGCCTCTCCTTTCCCTAGTTCCTGCTGGTACTGAAGGCGACCATGAGCATGAAGCCAAGAACATTCAATGCCACTCACCGCGGCTCCACCGCTGGGGCACAGTGGTCTGAGCATCGTAACACAGCAGCAGAAGAAGCAGCGTCTTCCAACTCATATTTCCCTCCAAGAGATGAAAGGTCACCCCCAAACCCAGGGGACCCAGGAGCTACAGGTTAGTCCGCTTCGTCGTTGGAGGGCAACGTGAGAGTTCTGAGATCCCTCGCGGGTCAGCAGGGCGAGGACACCAGCTCCTGCCTCCCGTCTGGCGGCTGGACACAGACGCTGCCTTCAGGGGCCCGGGCGTGGGGACCTCCGCTGACCTGACTCTCTGCGGGATTGGGGGACTGGGCTTCCACAGAAAGACTCTGTATTTGAGCACATCTGGAGTGACTCACAGGGCATGTGATCTCCTTGGCAGTGCGACGGATAAATATAATTTTGGTACTTGAGTTCCATGTGTTGGATGCACCCACTGGAATTTTTCTTTAACAAACAGACTCTCGGAACTTGTTAGAGAGCGCGGCCAAGAGTTGGCGGCTGTCCCTGTCCCCACACACATCAGAGCAGGGTGAGGGCTGCAGGAAGAGCGGGGAGGCGGGCCTGGCGCGGCCGGGGTGAGGGAGCCCAGAGTTGCCTTCAGGACAGCAGAGCTCCTTGTCTTCCCTGGAGCTGGGCCTTGCAGTGGCCTGAGCCCTGCCCCCGTTCTGCCTGG